CAGCACTGAGAGGACGGATGGATGGGAGAGGGTCGCGTCCCTGTGATTACAGCCTGGGGACGACAGCACGGGAAGGTGTCCACACTCACAAATGGGCTGACAAGAAGACACGTGTCGTGCGGCCAGGCCGCTGTGCAAACCCCAGGCATCTGCGTGTGTGGTGCTGCGGGTGGGACGCAGGGCCTTTGCCTCTCACAAGCTGCTACATTGGCCAGGCTGGGCTGGAAATTTCTATTCTCCTGCCCCGGCCTCCCAGGGGATGGGGTTCCAGGTGCACCTCCCCGCTTAGGTGTGGTTAACAGCAGGAGGCTGAAGCAAGCTCTGGCTGGGAGTCAACAGCAACGGACCTCAACCACCTGGCGCTGCACAACACGGGCACACAGCACACGCGTGCACGGGCAGAGACCCAGTGTCAGAGAGGGAGGTGGGAGGTGTCGGCCTCAGCCGCACTGCCTTCTGGGGAGCGGGGAGAGGGAGCCAGGGAGCGCCCGCATGGCACTTCTGCCGCGATTCGGACTTCCATCTGGCTGTGGTGGCACACCTCTGTAGTTGCTACCCTTGGGAGGCTGAGGCAGGAGGACTGTGAGTGTGAGCCACTCCAGGTTACAGAACAGACCCAGTATGGAAACCCTGCCCCGTTAGACCCTAAGAAAAGCCCTTCTCCACGTCTCTGTCTGCAGCTTTTCTCCTGCAGGGTCTCCCTTGCCTGAAATGCTTTGGGCCAGAAGTATTTCCCAGTTTGGGTGTAGGATACCTGCACACACAAGTGAGGGGTCTGGGGGTGGGACCAGGTCACTTACGCCCCATATGCACCCTACACATATGGCATGGATGTAATCGAACTCAGGACCTCGTGCTTGCCAAGCAGGCACTGTGCCACTGAGCTGTAATTTCACGCATTTTTACTGCACCCATATTTTGACAGCGACCTGACATAGGACAAGTGAAGAGTTCCCCACTTGGATCACATTGGTGCTCCAATTCAGATTCTGGGCCATCTGAACCCTAAACTTTCAAGAGGGAGGCTCATCCCTCAGGGGAGGAACAAAGCTCACTTGGTCACAGATGCCCCTGCCCCTGGAAGCCAGACTGGCACCGAGGGCTTCCCTGCCATCATCCCCTGGGAGGGCGGGGCTGGGGACTTCCCGGGACAGAGCTGCCACCCGATGATGTGGATGCCGGGCCATCGCCTGTGTCTTCCTCTTCCCGTGGAGACCAGGGTTTCCCTGCCAGCTACAGCCTCCCTGCTGCCTCCTCTGTGGCTGTGTGGGGTGCCCTGTCCCCACCCCAGCCAGATGGGAGCCACATCACAGTGGGCGCTGCAGGGAAAGGCCACCAGGACCTTTGCCTGCACAGGGAGGTAGCACTGTACGCTGGGCCAGGGGCAGCCCCCTCAGCCTGGCTTGGGTCGCTTTATCAGAACAGGTGAAGACAGATGTCACCCACAATATGTCGCTGACACAGAACTCCAAGTATAATCACATGAGGGCATTCGAAATAAGGACTAGGAAAGAGACCCAGGGCGGTGACAGCCAGCCTTCCAGGGCTCTCAGGGAGACTAAGAGCCCAGGCGTGCGGCAGTTCACGGGCGCCAATCAGGAGGAAGCTGCGCAGATCAGGGCTAAGAAAACTCCCAGAATGAGAAGAAACAGCAACACAGAAAAGTCAGCTCCCCAGATACTGCGATAACCGCAACCCTGCGGCCCGAACACTGTTCCAAAACACGTGAGGCCAAGAGCTAACAGAGAACGAAGAGATAAACCCGATCGTGGCTGGAGATTTAAACCTCACTCACAGTAATGAGAAGAAACTGTCCAGGATGCAGGAGAGGTGACCACGTTCCCAGACGCCTGACCCAACGATGACAGGACAGGGTTAGGTGCGCCTGGGAAACTCCCCAAGTGTCCCCCATGGCAAAGCAACCTTGGTAAATTCAGAGCGATCCAGGTGGCGCACGGGGGTCCCCTGACCGGAATGGAATCAGACAGAAGTCAGGAGCAGAAACGTTCAAGGAGCTAGGAATTACACAACATGTTCCGCACAGCGCAGCGGTCAGCGAGGAGCCTCGGGGCAGAAAACACTCAGAGCAACAGCGTGCGAGAGCCCCAGGTGCCCGGGACGCTCATCGAGCGGGCACGGTGTCCCCAAATGTCCCTTACCTGGTGTGCTCGGGACTCCCTCTTTGTCCCCTGGAGCTCTGTACAGGGCGGGCAGATGCCTGCCAGGCAGCCCAGCAGCCCCGCCCAAGAGGAGTTTGTGAAAACCATGCCGGGCGACAGACGCTGTAAACCACCAGGAGCGGAACGGCCCGGGAACGGCAAGCTCCAGCTCTCAGCAAGGCACATGCCTCGGTGCCCCTCATCTGCGTCACAAGGGGCGAGGCCGCAGTCCTCGGAGCCCCCCCTTGGCACGGTTCCTCCTCGGGACTCTCTCTGAAGGGGAAGGCACCAGAACTGAAGGGTCCCTGGAGCACGGTGAGGGAAAGGTGCTTAACTGGATGTGGCAGTCATTACAAAACGTGGCTTTAAAATGTGCTCCAAGGGCCTGGGGATTTAGCTCAGCGGCATAAGCACCTGCCTTGCAAGCAGGCAGTCGTGAGTTCGATCCCTGGTACCGATAAAAACGAAAAAGACAAAAAAAAAAAAAAAAAAAGATGTGCTCCAAAAACAGACCAACGTCGCTGGGCTACTAGAAAAATAAAAATAGGCAGATGCAGCCAGGTGCCAGAACACAGTAAGGGCTCAGTACCTGGTAGTTCCATTTCTTAGCAAAAGGAGGCCCTGCAGACCCCAGACTCCCCTACATGGCTGGCTGTCCCCACAGCCCTCCCGGCCCAGCACAGGCCCACCTCCGCCCCAGCTCTCTGCCGGCCCTGGCTGCCTGGACATCCTCGGTGACGGGAAGGGTCCGGAGGGACTGAGTCCCCTGGCCCCATCACCAGATGCCCCAAAGATGGCCCAGATCCCCTCTGCAGTGACTCCAGTAGGACAGGGACACACAGGGTCCCGTAGACACAGGGGAGAGAGGCACCCTACCGGGAAGTCCTGAGTGGTCGCCCAGGCAGCTGGCACAGAGCCCCCCTCCCTGCACCCCTCCCCCAGCTGCAGGCAGGGTGTCCCCCAGACGCAGCGGTCACTGTCGGGGAGCTGCTGCCCTATGAGAATCACTGCCCTTTGGTGGCAGAGGTGGGGTGAGAACTCCCAGAGCTGCTGCAGAGGAAGAAAATACATTTGGGCTTCCCCTGGCGCTGCTGCGATGAGCCTGGCTTCTAGCCACCTTCTAGAACACTGGGAGGACCCTGGGTTCGAAGGGGACAGGGCCTCCCACTCCCACACTGCACGAGGCACTGGCCCCCGCACGCCCTCCACCGGCCCTCCTGAGCCATCGTCGTCACCATGGGCTGGTGAGACCAGGACCCCAAGGACCTGGATGGCGCCGACCCAGGGAGCCCTTTCACGGGACCGTGTGGGGTGCTCGGAAGCAAAGACAGGGAACGGTGCCTGCCGAGGGTGTCCCGGTCTATCGCACGTCATCTCCACCTGCGCAGGGCACGGTGACCCGGCTAAAGGCAAAACAAAAGGGTCCAGCTGCGGACAGGGGCCACGCCCTCAGCCACGCGGACCAGGTGTCTGCGGCCCGGGAGGAGCCGCACTGCCCTCGCTGGGCCTCCACCCAGGGTGTCACACCCCCTAGCTCAGGAAAGCCAGGGAGGGACCCACCTCCTCTGCTGGGACACGGAGACGCAGACACCCGCCTCAGCCACCCTGGGCCGCTCCTGCATCCTTCCCTGGAGCCTCTCAGCCGTATCTTGCTGCCCCATCAGCTTTGTGCTCGGAAATCTCAAAATCCCACGCCAGATTCTCCACTTTAATGCACGGATCAGACGCGCTCTGGAGCCACACCATGCTGTGCACTCTGAGCGGCCCGTGCCTGCTGGAACAATCCAGGGGATCAGAGAGGTGGGGTGGGCAGACACCGAGACACAGAGGCGCAGGGGGCTCCTCCTGCCAGCCCCGGGGAGGGGGGCCATCCGTGACCCCAGAGGGTCTGAGGGGTGAAATTCGGGGTTTCCTTATTAAACATTTTAAAGACATTCCTACCGCTCATCAGCAAAGCTTCCTAACAATTCTGCCCTACATACTGGCCCCTTGGCCTTCGGAGGAAGCCCTGCTGCCCTCCGGAACCTCCTCACGACCAGGCCCTGAGCTCTAGGCCGGCCTGGCACGGAGGCCAGCAGCCGCTCCCATCCCAGGCAATGGGGTGAGAAGCGCCTCTCCCACAGTGCTGAGGGTGTCACTTAATACCCCACATAGCTAACAGTCACAGCTCTGCCAAGGTGTGCCCAGCATGGACCTGGCAGCAAGCTGGCACTCGGCCCTCGCATGACTTACCTCTCCAGGAGCAATGAGCTAAACTCCCTTGATTCCAGGGCCCAGGAAGGTGCGGCCTCTCTAAGGCAGAGCCAGGATGGGGTACTGCGGCTGGCACTGGTGGGGCATGGGGAACACCGGGGGTGCCCTCCAAATGCCCCAGGGCAGCAGCAACATGGGCTCTGCTGTCATCGCCAGCCAGCCCCTGCTCTCCACAGGGTGGGCACCTGGGACTCTGCTCACCCCTCTTTCAAGTTCAGGCTCAGGTTCAGGACGGGTCACTTGCTCCTACACAGCCTCCTGCCCCGATGTGCCACCCTCAGCAGATGCCAGGCCCCCAAGGTGAGCCAGCCTTGGGCTGAGCCTCTGGGATCTCTGGGCATTCTGTCCTCGAGGTTCAAGCCGACTAGCACAGCTGAAGTGTCCCCACAAGCTTCGCCACACCGTGCCTCTGGGGTTCCTGTGGGCACAGGCACAGACCTCACCTGGCTGGAAATTGCTCCATCCAAAGTGTCACAAGAGGCTAAGTCCCACGTCCAGGGGAGCAAGGGGGCTTAGCTAGGTTTTCACAGATGTTACTTGGGGCTAGAAGAATCCCTAAGCGGTTTTTGTTTTTTGGGTTTTTTTTTTTTTTTTTTTTTTTTTGGTATCGGGGATCAAACTCACAACCTAGCGCTTGCCAGGCAGGCAATTAGGCCACTGAGCTAAATCCCCAGCCCCCCCAAGCGGATTTTAAACTATGAAGAGAACACAAAGACGCTTCCAAAGGAGTGGGAACAGACAGCTGGGCGCTGACTAATCCTAGACTTTGTTGTAAGCAGAAGAAATCCCAATATGTTCCCGTGAGCCGAGACTTCAGGCTGCCAAGAAATGGGTGGGGCTTGTTAGACAGGTTAGAGAGGGACAGGGAGGAGGAGGCCACCGGGCCCCAGAGCAGTGAAGGACAGGTGAAGCCAGGTCTGCAAGCCACATGATGGCTGCGTGTGGAAGCCCGCCCCGCTCAGTGCACGCTGCCACCAGTGGGCCGAGGCAGGCTGCTCCTCCCCCGCCTGGCTGTCATCTGTGCAGGGTCTCCTGCCAGAGCTGAAGGAGATGCTGTCCCCCATCTGGACAGGGCAGCACCAGAGGGATGGAGCACAGGCGTCCCCTGGGGAGTTCAGGTCCAGCCCTGCCACAGAAAGGAACAGACAGGAGTCCTGAGCACTAAGAGGTAGGCCTCCTCCCCGAGACGAGATCTGGGGAGACACACCCCGAAACCATCCCAGCCATGGGAGGAGAGCAGCGACTCTGGATGCGGGTGCTGATGGGGCACAGGAGGCCCAGGCAGGTTTTAAAGAGAGCATTCTTTGGGTCAGATGGGGCGACAGCGGCGTGCCAGCCGGTGAGGGAGGATATTCCGGACTGGGGACAGATGGCGGGGAGGCGGGTGTGAGGATCTGGCGCCCCCGCACAACCGAAGCAGGCTGATCCAGCCCTGCCTGGAGTCAGGAGGGAGAGAAGACACTGCCTCGTCTAGCACAAACTCAGTTTATGCTTGGAAGTGTTCCCTGAAGCCTTAAACTGAAACATTCACAGGCAGCCACTTCCCCACCCGTAACGAAACGGGAGCACAGCTCTCTCTCATCCTGGAGGCCTCCGCAGAGCAGGAGGGAATCCACCGCCACACACTCGGGCCCTGCCTCGGAGCATGAGGATTTATTCAGCAGCCTGAGCAGTGGGGCTGGCAGATGCCACGTGCACGTGACTGACAAGGGGGGGGCCCTGTGACTGCCTCACCAGGGAGGGACCCCAGAGCGAAGAGGGCGGCTGGACGCCCGGCCTCCATCCTCCTGGAAGCCTCCAGCGGAGCCTGCTCCTCCTTCCCGCCCATCCTGCCCTCTGCCCAGAAGAGCTGCTGGGAGAGACATCACCGAGCAGCTACTGACCGCCTCCCGGACGGCCACCTGACAGCAGGAGGCAGCCTTGAGGATCACAGCAGGCTTCCTCTATGCACGGCAGGGCACTCAGGGGGACGCCTGGCCTCTACACACGGTGCCAGCAGCACCGCCAGGTGGGGCAACCACAGATGTCCTCAGTAATATGGACGCTGCTTGTGTGGGTAGTAACTGTGTGGATGCACCGGTCAACTAAAACCTATTAGTAAAATTAATCTCTCATTCTTCATGTGGTCGCTAGAAGCCTGAATTTTTGTCAGACGGGGCTGGGTCAAGGGGACTGGACAAGGACAGGACCCTCTCCTGACCTGCAAAGGCAGGAGATGTGGCTCACTGACTGGCAGCCCAAGGAAGCCACAAGGGCACTGCCCTGCTGTGGGCACAGACCTGACCACTAAGCCAGGGGCAAGGCACAGTAGCTCTGGGCTGTGCAAGGCCGTAGAGGTGCTGGGTGCTGGCGGTCAAGGCCAGGGCTTGGAATTATATCCCAGGAGCCACGGGAGAGGAGCCCAGGGAAGAGCAGGACCTGACGTCCATCCTGGAAGCAGAGTGCACTGGCCGCTGTGTGGCAGCGGTGCCCGTGAGCAAGAGCAGAAGCAGGACCAGGGGGCAGGAGATGTGTGGCCTTGGGCCCTCAGCAGCTCCCAGGCCAGGGTGGGGTAAGTCAGGGACACCGCGTCCTTTCCAGGGCAGGGTCAAGCCGCTCATCAACTCTATCAGATGTGATGTTGGGGTCCCCTCCCTGCACAGCGCGGCTAAATGAAGCTGCTGTTTCTGCTTCGGGCTCCTGAGGGCCATCTCAAGCCTGCTCTCACAGCCGAGTGCGCATTAGACTCCCTTTGCTTTATTAGCTCATTTCTGTGTCTCTGACGGCTTAGGCTGAAGACACTGGCCGTAGGGGGCCGGGGCTTGGCGCTGTTTTCCTATAACGCTGGGGTCTTCTGGGAACCCAGCATCTGCTTCTCTTGCAGCTCGGCTGTGTTTGCTGCACCCTGGGCGCATCCCTGTCCCGGGGGCTCCTGTACCCCCAGCTCAAGCGCTAGCTGAACAGCACCCTTTCAAGCACACTGCCCTGGCATTTTCCATCTGGCGTGCGCTCTGCTGCTCCCAGATCCTCCTCTCCCAGCTCTCGGTCACTCTGTGGCTGTGAGTCACCCACTCTGAGTCACGCCTGGCTGGGCTGCAAAGACAGGAGATGTCTGTGGGCACACCTGGGGGAAAGGACGTCATCGGTCATCTGATCCAGTCCACACTGGTGCACGCTGCCCCGAGCGGGGTCAGGAGGCAGGAGGAAAAATGTCTCCCTCCCCTTCCTCCCTGCAGGTCGAATCCTGCTCTGCCTTTGCTGGAAAGAGCCCTAAAGGCCAACGAGGCTTGGCCACTCACGTCCAGCTCTGGAGGCAGCGGCCACACCCGGTGCCCAGGATACCCACTGGCACTGTCACTAGCCTGTGCACCCCGTAGCCAGAGGTTCATCTGCAAGACACGGGGTGGGCACTGGAGGTGGAGGGCCCGGGGGCGCTGTGCTTTCTCAGTGCTAAGGACAAAAGCAGGCGGCAGAAGGGGAGCTTGCACTCCATCGCCTTGGACACGGGGTGTCGGCAGCTGGGGCGGGCAGAGGCCCTGACTGAGGATGTGGAGGGGTTTCCTTTTTGGGTGATGGAAGCGTGCAAAATTAAATGTCGACAGTGGAACCACTCAGTCAAGTTACTAAAAATACAGCGTTGTAGACCTGAACGGGTGATGGGTTTTACATTTGAGCATGTAAAATCCACCCCCATAGCGGCTACAGGAAGGGAGACAGCAGAGCAGATGTGACCAGGAGCAGGGGCAGCAGGGAGCCCTCCGCCACAGCCTCGGAGCCGAGCCAGGTCCAGGTGCTGGGGTGGGGCATCACTCTGGGGGAGCACAGGGCTACCTGGGCCCTGAGAAGACTCGGAGAAGATGACAGGAGGGAAGGGGTGGCGGCAGGGTGGCCTGGCACAGGATGGCAGGCAAAGGCCCTGCACTGTCCCCAGCGCTGCTCTCCAGGGCATATGCACAAGGGACCTCAAAGGTGACTTGTGCTCAGCCCGGGGGGACGGGCAGCGAAGTGGGGAGCAGAGGAGCAGCCTGCATAAAAGCCGCACAAATGTGAGCTAAGGTGACTCTGATGATGTCACACGGGGGAGCGTAACATGACCCCCCCCACACACACACACACGTCCTCTGCCAGTGTCTCTCACGAGGGCCACCTCCCCAGGCAGAGCTGCGGACTCTGACAGCCACATCCACGGAAGGATGGTCCCACACTAGTCCCCTGTGCCGTCCCAGGTCACTGCTCCCAGCACCTCAGTCCTCTGGACTCCTCAGTGGGGTACTGTCACCGGCCCTGAGCTCACAGGGTGTGAAAGGCAGAGGGAGGAGGGACAGGGTGACAGCAGGCCTGCGGGTTGGGGGGCAGCAGAGGCAGCTGGGATGTTAAGAGCGTGCTGGTTTCAGGAAGGAGACACGAGGTGCTGGCCGTGAAGGTGCCAGTGGGGGATGAGAAGCTGGGGACAGTGAGGAAAGGGACAGGCGGGAGCTGCTTTCACTGGCGTTTTTGTATTATTTGAATTCGGTACCATTTGCACGGATCAAAGTACGACAAATGAAATGAACCGAGGGGGCACCAGGGAGTACCCAGCAGAGGTCAAGGGCGAGGAAAAGGAAGTTGGCCGAGGTACCAGGCATGCACCTGCTCCGTCCCCCCAGCCCACCGCACCGGAACGAGGGGAGCTCTGTGAGCCTGGGGGGTCCACTCCCTGCCAGGGCTTCATGCCCAGGCTCCAGGCCCCCAGCATCTCTGTCCAGCCCTGGCAAACAGCATAGTGGACACAGCCTCTCCTGACGGTGCCTCCTCCGTGCAGTGGCCAGAGGGCCTGGCTGACAGCACCAAGGATCTGTCCCAAGGACAAGACTAAGAAGGAACCCGGACAAGGGGTCAGAGATGGCGCCCCCTGCAGAGGCCACTGGGGAACCCCCACCCTATCAGGGAGGGCAGAAGCCACAGGTGCTGCCATGGGAAAGTGAGGGCACATCAGGCCACCGATCGGCCACCTCGGCCAGGTACATGCTTGGAGCCCATTGGCACCAATGGTGTTGGGACTGTCACTTAGCCTATGAAACATAAATATGACACGATCCCCACAAATCGCAAGGATCACGGGCGCTTTCTATGAAAATACTCAAATCCTTGCTGTTGTCCCTAGAAATAACCAGCAGATCCCAAGTCCATTTTGTGCCTTTTCACAAGTGGGGACAGCAGCGAGAGCAGGGGGGAGATGGTGAGAAGCCCGGCCCACGGGGACAAGGCAGCCATGGGCCAGGGAGGCAGAGCCCGGGGCTGGAGAGAGGCACGCACAGCCTCCCCAGGGTGGAAGCAGCGGCCGTCCATACACGGCTATGGACGTCTGGCCTGCAGCACTTTGTTACGGTCACCCCAGGACGTGCGTGGGCCAGGGCGCTCGGTTTTCCCCCTGTACAGTGCTTCAATCCTCCTGCCCAGTGTCAGCCACAGTCACGCCTCATCTCCAGGAAAAGAAAGCCGATTTAGCACCTTCCGAAGCAGCGATGCCTCCCACTCTGAAAAGGTCTCACCGTGGGAGGCATCAGGCCTTCCACAAGCACCTGCCCAGCACTACTGTCCGCTGGGCACTGTTCTAGGCATTGTTGATGCACAGCACACGGGGAAGGTCAGTCTGATGCTGATTTGAAGAACACAAATGCAAGAGGACCGAGCGGGCGGGCACCAGAGGAAAGGGACACAACCTTGCTTGTCAGGGAAGGTCTCACGGAAGGCGTGGCATGGGAGCCGTGCTGTGGCTTGTGTCCAGCTGTACCCCCAGAGCCTCATGTGGTCACAGGTGGGGCTTTCTCAGAGGTGGCTGGATCTAGAATGTGTGGTGCAGTGCTCAGGTCCAGGGTGTGAGTGCCGCCCGCCCTGAGTAGCCAGGGTAAGGTAAACGGGGCACAAAGATACCGCTAAGGCCCTTGCTGCATTTGTTACCTGTGGGTGCCATGAGCTGTTCCCCGCTGCGATGCAGTGGGAGCAGAAGTGCCGGCTGCAGGACACGTGAGGTCAGTGGGTACCTGTGGTCACCTAGCAGACCCAGGGAGGATGTCCGCAGGGCGTGTGGCACATGCCTGACATCCCAGCACTCTCGAGGCTGAGCCAAGGGGACTACACAGTGAGACCCTGTCTCAAAGCAGCAAGGATACCAAGCAGGTGTGTGGGAACCGTCTCAACTCAGGACTTGAACTCTGCTCGCCTGATCCACAGCAGCCTGCGCTTTCTGTAATCCTGGCACCGAGATTCTCTCCCTCACTGGCCTGCCTCTGTCACCACCGCGGCAGATGCAGTCGACAGTTACTCTTCTCCCCTGACCTTCGTCAAACAGTGCTGTCCAGGAAAGAACACAGTACCCTAGGCACGGAGCCGCTGGGAGTCTCACCCAGGCGTGCCCTGGGCATGCTGTCACTCTGTGTGTGCCACCAACCTGCTGAAACACACACCAGGCAGCCTCGAGGTCCTGCAGCACTGCCCACATCCACAGGGTGGAACAGAACCTTGCGCATCTCAGAGCACAGCTGCGCCTCGGGGCGTGGTGGGAGGGAGTGCCAGCCTGAGCCACACAGCGCCACGTAGAAAGCCCTGATTAAAGCAAACACGACTCCTGGGCAGCACCTTGAGTCTTGCAACATTCCTCTTCCGGAATGGCCCTGTTCTCTTGCACCACACTCTGAAGACACCTTCATGTTTGGAAACCCCAGTTCTTTTGCAAAGACACACTCTGCAATCACACTTCCTACTAGATTGCCCAAAGCCTGTAAACAAATCTGAGTTGGTGTGTGGGTTAGGGGAGCGGTCGGGGAGCCACACTGGCTGGCCAGGCTAGCCTGGGCGGTGGCCAGGAAGGAAAGACCACGGAAAGAATCGGGGCCCCTGGTGGGAGAGAGGGCTCACTCAGAGCCACCCGATGTGCCCAGGGTGAGGGGTGTGACACTGAGTGTCAGCAGCTGGATTAACCCTTGGCTTTGCTGCCAGAGTGACGGGGCCCTGGGCAAGCCAGCCTCTGTGACGCAGGTCTGACAATCCCCAGTTCGTGACGAAGGCAAGCTAAGAGGCTGGGGTGCAGACAGCACTGTAAGGTACAAAGGGTCAGGCCATCGGAACAGGGACTCGCTCCCCCCTTCCTGGTGGTGACTGACGTCCCAAGACTTTCTGCTTTCCGTATTTCTTTTAACCTGATTGCTTCCCTTTTGTGACAGTAGAGATGGAGGTGGGGGAAAGAGAGAGGGAGAAAGGGAGAGAGGGGAGGAAGAGAGGGAAACACTGAGGAAGGCGGGCAGCAGGACACCCCAAGGCAGCCCCGAGCGCCATCCGGGCTTCCTACAAAGCAAACCTTTAGAAAAACAAAGTTAGCACCCTAAGGACAGAAATACAGCCACTGTCCTGCAGTGTCTCCTCCGTCTGCCACACAACACTCCCAGGGCTTGTGACTTCTCTACCTCACTGGGTGGGTTCTGTGTGGTCTCACCTATGACACCCTCAAATAATACGAGCACACATTCACAGGAAGTTGCCAACCTAAAGACAAACTTGCTGAGGAATGTCAGAATGAAACCAGAGACTGGCAGCACAGTGCTGTCACCAACGGTGGCCTGAGCCCGAGTCCCGGGAGCCCTTCCATCTCTTGGACAGAAAAAGAAAACCCCATGAGTCAACTTTTTCACTGCCCCTTGCCCAAGCTTTGACGGTGCAAGAGGTCTCTTTCTGAACGAATTGAAACAGCAGCAGCAGGGCACACTGGGCCACAGGGAGCTGGAGGGGGGCGGGCGGGGAAGGTGGAGGAATGTGGGCAGCTACCACCCCCCACAAAGCATCACTGCTGCCCTGCTTTGGGTTTAGGCAGCTGCCGCCTCCCATCAGAGGGATCTGAACAGTGGCATCCAGTTACAGGGCTGCGCGGCATGGCTGGAGCGGGTCCTGACAGCTGTCAGCCTGCACGGACACGGACCACAGGGAGCCACCGCCACATCGGCCTCAGCTGCGCCAGCTCCTTCTGCAGTCTGGCACTGCTGCCCAGAGAAACTTGAGGGGAGGGGAGGTGGCAGTCTTCTTCCTCTTCCCCCCTTTTTCCATCTTCCCACGTCCAGCCCCCCAGCACCCCAGCAAACTGGGGGACAGCAGAAGGGGCCGTGGCCTGCCCCTGACAACCCCATGCTGGCCAACATTCAGTCTCCAGAGCCCGAAGGGGAGCTCCCAAACCGCATCCAGGCTGCTGTGCCCGCCCCCCAGCCTGTGCCCGCTGGCCATCAGAAGCAGAGGGGAGCTGTGACAGCGCAGGCGGGGTGGCCAGGGTGGCCAGGGCCAAGCCCCCGTCCTCAGCCCCTGCTCCGGCTGCCGCGCATCAGCTCTCCTTCCGGAGCCAGGGTGTCTTCTGCCCAGGACACACCAGTGTGTCGTGCAGCCACTGGCGACAGCATCGGCCAGCAGCAGCTGGGGACAGCCCTGAGCTGGGCCGGGTCCCGCGCCTCGCCTGAGCCCACCCCGCGATGACCCCCATCCCTGCCTCCCCCAACGCTCAGCCGGGTCCCCCCTCCCTACGGCGCACCGCGGCCCGCGACCCCAAGGCGCTGCCATGTCACCCTCGCAGGTCCTCGCGCCCCCCAGGGGATCCCGTCGGTGCCCCACAGCTCCTCGGGGTGACCCCCGGGCATCCCTTCGTGAGCCTGGCAGACAAGCCCCAACAGGCCCTCGGCCCTCTCACCGCGGCGGCGCCGGTCAGGCGGGAGACACGGCCGGCGACACAGTCCGATCTGCAGCTGCGGCGACTGCGCCTCGCGAGCAGCCGGGTCCTCGAGCGGCGCCTCGGCCCGAGCTGTCAGTCAGTGGGCGCGCCCGCCCCAGCGGTGTGCGCAGGCGCGACCACGCCCAGGGTCACGTGACCGCGGCGCAGCCGCTTGCCCCGCCCACCTGGCCCGTGGGAGCCGAGCGCGGTCCCGCGCGCCCTGCGGGATCCGGAGCCTGGCGCCCCCGGACGGAGGCCTCGCGGGGGAGAGCCCTCGTGGCCGAGGGCTTGGGGTCCAGTCGGTTTCAGGCACTTCTAAGACTCAGACGCCGACTTCTGGCCTGGCGCCGCAGGGCGACCGGCCTGGCCTTGGAACCGCGCGCAGAGCGCCGTCCGGGCGGCCGAGGCCTTGCTTGGGGCCGACTGCGCGGCTGGGGAGCCCGCTCCACCTGCTGCGAGAGCCCGGAGAGCTTGGCATAAATACCGGAGGGTGGACGTGACGTCCAGGTCATTGGGTTTCGGCCGAATCTCCAAAAACGTGTGGGGCTGGGGGTGCAGCCTTTGCCTAGCAGGTGCGAAGCGCTGGGTTCCGTCGCGGGGAGGTGGCACTGTAAGGTTTTTTAGTTATATAAAAAGTAATTCCCCCTTCCCCATCATTTGGGATTTTGTCAAGCTTGGTTTCCTTGCCTAGCAGAGTAAACCTGCCTCCGACGTTCTAAGACATGTCCCCAGCTGGGCTACCCAGGGGCGGCTAGAGTTCTGCCTCTCAAAAGAAAAATGAACGTGCAAGGGGGTGGCCAACCATTTGTCCCTTGCCCAGACAGAGCTGCTGTCCTTGGAGAGCCGACCTGTCAAACTGAGCACTTGTTTGGAAACGTTTAGGTAACAACGTGAGGAAGCTGGGCGTTGCAGTCGCGCGGGGGATGAGGATCGTTGGCATCTTAGCCCTGGTCCCTTCCGGATTTGCCTGCCTGACTGGGTACCACCAGCATGAGAGCAGGGGGGTCTGGGTGCCTCGGTACGGTGTGAATTCAGGAGGAGGCCGTGCACAGCCCTCATCCTCTAATGTGGACTCCACAGTAGGTAGCATAGGTTTCTGCTGAGTCCCGAAGGATACAGGTGCATCTCACAGGACCTGCGGGAAGAGAGGGTTGTGCTGGGGCTGGAGAAACCAGACAGTGAACCTGGCCCAGTGCATGACCCCCACAGCTCTGATCTGGCCTTGGCAATGCTGAAAATGTGAGCTCGTGCAAGGTGACACGATAAAAGGTTTTCTGAACTTGCCAGAAAGTTGGACAGAGGCAAATGACCAGTCAGTCCACTGCAAAGAGGAAGAAAGACAGTCCGAAAACCACAGAGCAGTGAACTTCATACTGACCCTGAGAACTACTCAGGAGAAATGACTCATGAAAAATATTTGTGACAAGACTCAGACCACAGAGTGCTCAGCAAAGCTGACTTTCTGCTGTGAAATCGACAGATGCCAAAACGGTGGCAGTACTGGCTCTGGATCGGAAGACACCAGAATTTTCCCATAAGTGACAGAAACTCACTCAAACTGGTGGTTAAGAAGAGTGTTGTTGATTCACATAACAGGAAAGTTCTGGGGCTGGCCCAGCAGGACCCAGGGCCACAGATGTCATCTCCTGAACTTGTCTCTTCCCCATTCTAGGCAGAACCTATGAGCTGGCTCAGACAGCTTCAGGCTTGTGCTGTCTCAGCAGCAGACTCAGTAGGGGGGAAAAATAAATAAAGGTTCAGTCTTTCAGTTCTGTCAAAAGTCCCAGGACTCAAAGTGGGGCTTGGTGTGCATTCCTGGAATCCCCCTGAGAAGCTGAGGCAGGAGGGTCAAAGATTCCAGGCCAACATGAGCCACTTAGCAAGACCCTGTCTCAAAATGTTTAAAAAGGGCTGGGTTTAGTTCAGCAGTAGAGTGCTTGCCCAGCACACACAATTCCCTGGGTTCAACCCCCAGCGTCAAAAACAAGGAAAAAAAAAAGTGCCAGGATTTGCTCTGAATGGACAAAATTTACCTCTTGAACCTGTCTCCAAGGCCAGCTGGATCAGTAGATGGGCCAGATGGGGACATGGGTGAGGTCAAGCCCTACCCATGCGGCTTGGAGGGTGCTCCTGCGAGCCATGGGGGTGCCAGGAGGTGGAGTTTCAGGCAGAGAAAAGCAGCCAGTATGTGGGATGAAGAACGGCTGAGGTGTCCCACTGTCCTGTATAAATCACTGGACAGTCAAGTCAGACTCAAAGACGCTTTGAATCGTGGGTGAGTGGAAGGAGCAGTTACACGGGATCACGTGGTTCTGTTTCTGTTTTGCCACTAGCTCCCCCCCTCTCCGTGCTTTCCAGGGTTGATGGGGGGACAGGAATAGCTCAGGAGAGACGGGACCCACAAGTGGGTCACCTTCCCCTTGTCTGTCAATAGACACCCCAGACTGAGTGGCTCACAGGACACGTGTTTCCTCACTGCTCCTGGAGTAAAGTCCTCAAATCGGGGCCACGGCAGGGCTGGTCCTGTGGCAGGGTCCGGGGGGAATTGTCCCGGACACTGGGGTTCTCGGTGTGCACAGGCCGGGCTGCCCCTTCCATCTGGGTCTCTCGTGGGCCCCTCAGTGCTGGAGTCAGGCAGGTGTTTTGGCAGTGATGGGGCAGGAAGGACGCTGGTTCCTACTGGGACATGCCATTAGGGATGTTCCAGCTGTCCCCTTGCTGAGGGCGTCACCCCTGGCCAGCAGGGAAAGTGGTGACGTGTTTCTCCCTTGTAAAGGCGCTGCCCTCCCGTTCTTCTGCAGGGGAGCAGTCATCTGGGGGAAGAACCTCTCCCTGTAGTGTAGCATCTGGTCACCTCGCCCTTTGGTGGCTGCCAAGCACTGTTTTTAATTCTGCTGTTCTGTCTGCATTTGGAGCGTGACCTCTCCGTGTCAGCCTGTGCTTTTCAGTCTTTTCTCCACAGAGCAGCGGGCATGACCTTCAGAAGCCACAAATGTGACCACAGTGGTTCTCCTTTGCCCCTCGGGGAGCCCAGCCGTCTTTCCTGGGCTCTTTCACAGGGCCCTGTAGGTCCTGGCCCGTCCCTGCTCTCCAGCCCCACCGCAAGCCACTTCTTGCCCTCCCAGGACAGCAAACCAGCCACGCACCTTCCTCCCCAGCCCCACTGCTGAGCCCGGTCGGCCTCAGCCCCCACTTCTGCTTTGCAGACACCCACCTCCTTCCCCTCCACACCCTACAGGAAGGCTCGAGCACAGCTCCAGTCCAAACCAGAGTGGAAGGACACCACACGGGGCACCTCGTCCTCGTCCCCTGCAGGGACACACGGTTTGTTATCATGCATGTCCTGGGTGGTGAGACTCCACGCTCCGCCTGGCTGTGCGCACGGTGACCTGTGTGAACCGTGCGCCAAGCAAGTGAATGTGAGTTTAAGAAGAGGCTGTCAGGGACGGGAAGAGACCTGCGGTTGTCTGGGCATAGAAAGCAGCAGCTCGCTGCTGGGTGGGTAACTTGGGATGGGGCCACAATGCTGGCGTGTGGGAAACTACATCAAAGGCTTGGCAGAGCTGAGGCCTCTGGCTCCTTGGGATGGGGACAGACGGGCACAGCAGAGAAGGCAGAGCCCTCGTGGCAGGACAGAGCAGGTCAAACTCAGGACCTCGCCTAGGCTCAGCTGTCCAGACAGGATACGCAGTGCACAGGGAGGAGCAGGTCTGGTCCTGGTGCCAGGCTCATGGCCATGTGACCGGCAGCACAGTACCCCACCTCTCTGAGCCTGCGTGGCCACAACGGGAGCAGCCACTGGGAGTTCACGCCACTGCTCAATGCCTATCGAGGGCCTGCATTTGCCAGGTGCCGGGAGACGAGCACACAGACCAAGTCTCCCCACCTGTGTGTGGCCTGCATCCCAGGGAGGACAAGGTACAGCAGTGGGAGGAACGGGGAGGTTTAGAGGCCACCAGGGAGGTCACCCAGGACCCGGTCCTGAGGGGCCAGCGGCAGGGCATGGGCTCTGCAGGGCTGTACGGTGGCAGGCATGGACCTGCAGGCCCAGGCGCATGAGAATTCAGGGGTCACTGCACTTGGCTTACACTCTCTGGGCCTCACCCAACTCCAGGGGTGCAGAGTACCCATCTCGGTCTTCCTGAGGTGGTAGCTGCCCTACACACCACAAACTGGGTGGAAGATTGTGAAATCACCCGCAACAAATCTGTGATGTTGCCCTGCACGACCTGATCTCCCCAGCACTTGTTTCCAGCAGACAGGAATCTTAGGTGCCCGTGGCACCTGCCCACTGCCTGCCTCTCGCCCCTCACTGCCGACCACAGCAGCCGACCACTGTAGCCACGCAGCAGGCGCCCTCTGCTGTCCTGTCCCCTTACTCAGCCTCACCCTCGAGGGGCCGAGCCTGTCCTCCTGGAGTCTCTGCTCCTCTCCTGGCTGTGGAGTGTGGTGGCAGGAGCAGACCACAGCTGCTTCATCTGTAGCTCATGGACATTCAGGTGGTTTCGGCTGAAGGCTCTTATTCTGTTTGGTTTTTGGTGGGAGACACTTACTGGAAGCCCAAGCCAGCAGCTGTCTCTGCTGCGGGGGCACCATGCGCAGTGGGCCATGGCTCACTGAATCCTCAGCAAGGTGACAGGTGTGTCAGCGCTCCATCACCTCCCGTTAGCAGCGATCACGGAGTGGGGAAGGGTCTCTCCAAGCAGGTCACGCACGGGCCGCCAGTGCACTGAGCCCTGCCTCTGCCCCTCCCGTCTGTGGTCCCTGTGCACATACCACCCTTGTGCGTGAGCGAGGGCTGCTGTGAATGCTGTGTGAACATCCTTGAGCCTCTCGGGGAGCGCACGCCCACACAAGCTCAGTTTAGCAGGTGCTCCTGCCAGCTGACAGAGGCGTTGACAGCCACATTCCCACCGGCGAGGTGTCCCAGCCACTGTGCCTTGGCCTGTGTGGACACTTGGTGCTTGGTGGTGGCCCTGTGCCCGTGGCCTTCGTTAGCACTGTGCTGTGCTTTCCTGTGCATTTCCCTGATGAAGGTGAAAATGAGCCTTTTCCCCTGTGCTTGCTTGCTCTTTGTAAAGGACCCAGCCAGCCGCCTTGCGCATCACTGTGTTGGGTAC